TTTTTAAGGTTATGTTGGATTATATATTATTCTTTTAATTAGAATTGCGTTTGATATTTTTTTTTAAGATTGGTTTTTTTTTTAAACGTATTTAGTTTTTGGTTATTTATTTGTTTATTTTTTTTTTTATTTGTAAATTTTTTTTGTTTATTGGGGGGCCTGGGAGGGGAATGGGGACGGGAGACTGACTTGGTGAGAGCTTCACTCTTTCTTTTGAGGAGACTGTGACCTGTTTCGGCGCCTTTGAGCTTTGCTTTCATGATACCCAGCGATTGCCGGGTGGGAAAGACGGCTTCGCGGTCCTGGATGGGGAGGGTTGGGTGGTTAGTTATCGTGATGTTGATATTGGGAGACAGTGGGGTGTTTGGACCAACATACTGCTGCGCCGGACATGATTGCGGGTGGTTATCGGGCAATTGGAGATTTCCAAGTGTTGTAGTGAAGGGTGCAGAAGTAATACAAAGAGATGAGATGGTGATCTCTAGGGGTCAAGGGAAGATGCAGGGCTCGGCGAGATATGGCTGTTGTCGTTCGCACAGCAGCTGGACAGAGAGGGATGGGCTGTGGGATCGTGAGGTGTGGAGCTTCTTGGAGCTTGTTGCGACAGCTGGGTGACGGAAGCCTTCCAGGTTGCTTGCTGCCAACAGCACATCCCCTGGACCTGGAACTGGCCCGTGCTGATTACCTACGTAGTGCGGCGTCTCCCCGCTAATTAGTGCAATTATAATGACCTGGTCTGTGCTTTCTTTACGTGACCCGTCTCCCTCAAGCGCGTGCCCAATCGCCAGACTTGTTGGAGAAGTTGGAAAAAAGCAGTGCCGAAATTCGTCAAACCACGCCGTCGTCGGATTGTTACTGTCTGCGCCAAACCTACCTCGTTGACAACACCTAGCAGTGATGTCGTGGCAACGGCGCGTCTAGGACTTTTCTTTTTACTTCTTCTGCTCTTCGGCTCTGCCGCGGAGGGCGCCCACCCCCCAATTGGCTCCTTACTGAAGACGATCGAGTCCCGCGATGGCGCTGGCACTCTCCTCTGGCCGCCAGCCTGATCTGGCGCTCGTGGTATGTTTTTCCAGCTCTGGGATTGCGGGAACATCAACGAATGCTAACATTTGCGCCCTTCAGTCCGATGATGACTACCCCTACGAGCAAGACATCCAACGAAACCCCGGCAGCACCAAGCCATGGCTCGCCTACATTGACTACAAGATTCAACATGGGACACTTCGCGAGCAAGCCTACGTCATGGAGAGGGCATGTATCCAATTGCCGCGCTCCTATAAGCTGTGGAAAATGGTACGTTATTCCTCGCAAGTTTTGATGCCGAGTCAGCATGTTCTAACCCTCAACCAGTATTTACGATTCCGAACGAAGCACGTCGCAAAGCTCAATGCCGCCATCTTCACCTCCGAATACCAAAAGGTCAATGCGCTCTTTGAGCGGGCGCTGATCCTCCTCAACAAAATGCCGCGCATCTGGGAGATGTACCTCAAGTTCCTCATGCAGCAGCCCCTCGTCACCCTCACACGACACACCTTCGACCGCGCACTCCGAGCACTTCCGATTACACAACACAACAGGATATGGGCCTTGTACCGACCGTTCGCCAACTCGGCCGAGGGTTTGACGGCTGTCAAGATCTGGAGGCGCTACACACAGGTCCACCCGGAGGATGCCGAAGACTTTATCGAACTTTTGATTCAGAGCGAGCTGTACACCGAGGCAGTCAAGAGGTACATCGACATTCTCAACAACCCACGATTCCAGAGCAAGAACGGGAAGGGTCACTACGAGCTTTGGAGCGAGATGGTGGATCTGTTGGTGGAGCACGCTGTCGACATTGAAACGGGACACGAAACAGGCATTGACGTGGAACGGATCATTCGGAGCGGAATCGAACGGTTCGCGGACCAGCGCGGGAAACTGTGGTGCGGCCTGGCAACCTACTGGATTCGAAGGGGCAGCTTTGAGAGGGCAAGAGATGTTTTTGAGGAGGGCATCACAACAGTTATGACGGTCCGGGACTTTACGCTCATTTTTGACTCGTACACTGAGTTTGAGGAGTCTGTCATTGGGGCACTGATGGAGATGGCCTCGGGACGGGCGGAAAAAGGCGTGGTGGATGAGGTGGCTGATTTTGATCTGGATATCAGGATGATGCGGTTTGAGCATCTGATGGACCGACGACCGTTCCTCCTGAACGATGTGTTACTACGACAGAACCCGAACAATGTCACCGAGTGGGAGAAGAGAGTTGCTCTGTGGGGAGACAACAAGCAGGAGGTTGTACAGACTTATACGGATGCTATCGCTGCTATTCAGCCAAAGAAGGCTGTTGGCGCGTTCCATCAGTTGTGGGCTAACTATGCCAAATTCTACGAAAACGGAGGGGATATCCGGAGCGCGAGGACTATCATGGAAAAGGCGGTCAAGGTGCCCTTCAAGTCGGTAGCTGAGCTGGCCGACATGTGGATCGAGTGGGCAGAGATGGAACTCCGCAACGAGAACTTTGACGATGCCGTCCGGATCATGGCCAAAGCTGTCCAAGCCCCGAAGAGATCCAATGTCGACTACTTTGACGAGACATTATCTCCCCAACAGCGAGTACACAAGAGCTGGAAGCTGTGGTCGTTCTACGTCGACCTTGTCGAGAGTGTCAGCACCCTGGAGGAAACCAAGAAGATTTACGAAAGAATATTCGAGCTCCGCATCGCCACCCCCCAGACTGTGGTCAACTACGCCAACCTACTCGAGGAACACAAGTACTTTGAAGAGTCATTCAAGATCTACGAGCGCGGCCTTGATCTCTTCTCTTACCCCGTAGCCTTTGAGCTATGGAACCTCTACCTAACCAAGGCCGTTGACCGCAAGATCAGCATCGAGCGTCTGAGAGATCTCTTTGAACAAGCCGTTGAAGACTGCCCGGCCAAGTTCGCCAAGGTGATCTACCTCATGTACGGCAACCTGGAAGAGGAGCGCGGTCTAGCCCGGCACGCGATGCGCATTTATGAGCGGGCAACGCGTGCCGTGTCGGACGAGGACAGGGCGGACATGTTTAATTTCTATATTACCAAGTCGGCCTCTAATTTTGGTCTCCCATCCACGCGCCCTATTTACGAGCGCGCCATCGCCACCCTCCCCGACAACGAAGCAAAGGACATGTGCCTCAAATTCGCGGACATGGAAAAACGTCTTGGGGAAATCGACCGGGCAAGGGCCATCTACGGCCATGGATCCCAGTTTTGCGATCCCAGGACAAACCCGGGGTTTTGGCAAAAATGGGAGCAGTTTGAGGTGCAGCATGGCAATGAGGACACGTTCAAGGAGATGCTGCGGATCAAGCGGTCGGTGCAGGCGCAGTACAACACCGATGTCAACTTTATTGCCTCGCAGGCCCTGGCGAGAGCACAGCAGGCCAAGAACGGCGAAGGAGGAGGAGAGGTTGATCAGGAGGTGGCGGACGCGATGGAGCAGCTGGAACGGCAGGCTCGTGCCCCGGCGGGATTTGTTGCGGCGAACGAGGGGATCAAGGGGAGTGTGGTTGCTCCCAAGGTGGTCGAGGTGGCAAACCCGGATGCTATCGAGCTTGATGATATGGAATGAAATAACCTCTTCTTTTTATTTATTTTCTTCTTGCTTTTAACCTGTATGTTATTTAGATTGCATTGGGTTACCGACACACTTCAAAGCTGGGCGTTTTTTTCTTTTCTTGTTTCTTTGTGGTCATCACTCTCGTATTTTCTCTCTCAAATATTTTCTCGTCATGTTATTTGTCTTTGGGGGGAAGGAGGAAAAAACAAGGCAAAGTTACAAACAAAACCATTTCTTTTTGTCTTTTTACCTTGACAGATGTGTTATTTATTACTTACCTACCTACCAACCTCTTCTTTTCTCGACAGGATCTGGGATCTCATCGTGGAGAAAAACACAAGTTTGCACACACACACTATACAGCATATTTATCTTCTCTTTCAAAGAAAAAAAAACATCATATTGCTAGGTATTCATTTCATTCTGCCCTCCCAATGTTTCATAATTCCCACGAAAACTCCAATCAACACCTGACAAACTCAAACCTCCTCCCTTAACACATCAACAAGACATCTTTCCCCTCCTCACATCCTCCCTGTCCACCATCCGAATATCCCCATGCGCCATCTCCCACTGTTCATCCAACCCTGTCCTCTCCTCAGTCACTGCATTGTTGTTGCTATTCCCAAAAAGCCAAGAAGTACCCCCCACCAACGCCCCTTTTACCGTCTCCAACCCAACAAAAGAAGAAAGTTCCTACTGTTTCTTTGTGGCTGTGGTTTGGTTGTAATTCGGCGTGCCAAACCCAGTGTAGCCCTTTTCGGCGTGGAGCTCGTGGAACTTGTGGGCGTAGTTGGAGTCGACGTGGCCGTCGCGGGAGCCGGGGACGGCGTAGATTGATCCTTTGCGCTTTTGGAAGCGGGAGGGGGGGACTTTGGAGGCGTCTGGTAGAGAGAGATTGTTAGTGAACGGGAAAAAAAAGGGGGGGGGGGCAACGGGATGGGAAAGAGGCTTACCCCACTCGTCGCTGTTGCGACGGTCGCGCCTTGGGGAGGTGGGAGATGGGGAGATGGGGAAGTTGGTTGTGGTTGGGGAGGTGTTGGAGGCTGTGGAGGGGTTGCGGGAGTCTAAATACGTGGGGAGGTGGTTAGCATTGGCTGATGATAAGGGGGGAGGGGAGGAGGACGTACCAGCCATTGTTGCGGTTGTGGTTTAGCGTAGGTGATTGTAGGTGTGACGTCGTTGTAGTATAAACTAAAGAATAGAGATATGTAGGTGGTTTGACCGATGTGGTTCAGGTTTGCTGTCTGATCAAAAAGGATGAATGATGTTTGGGAAGAAGATTTAAACAAGGTCTAGAACTTGGGAGGTCCCGGAGATGGTGAAAGGGGTCATTCGGGAAAGCGGGATGGGAAAGGGTTATTATATCCCATTCAAAGGGAAGGAATGTTGGGATCGGATCGGAAGAGGAGGGAGGTACGACTACAACCTAGCTTTTCCAACCGGGTGGTCACCGAGTAAGGGTTGCTCCTGTTATCTCTCTGTTGCTATCCGAAATAGGAAGGGAGGAGACAAATGATGGAGTAATGTGGCTTCAGTTCACGGACACCCTGGGGTTACTTTGCCTCCCCTCCCCCTCAAGTGTGTGTGTGGTGGGAGGCTGCCCCTCATCTTTGTCCTTTGTTTGATGACATTAGCTTTCTGACGGAGGGACCTCTCATCCCATGCTTTCTTTTGCCCCGACCGTCGATCGTCTCACAAGGTTTGGGTCGGCATCACACGACCTGCGGGATTCTTTCTTGGGAGAAGAAGGGCTGACTTGCGAGCCGCTGTGTAAGTGTCAAAGGAAGGGCTTGTTGGGAAGTTTGGGAGAGGGGGCGGAGGGGAGGAGGGAGGCTGTGCAAAAACGCCATGCACGGGCAACCTGTCATTCATTGCCTTTGGACAGCGACTCACTAGTTGATCTTCAATCAGCTAAATTATTGCTCTTATTGAAGGGGCAAGCTACCTATGGTGTCGATTTGATCAGATGGTTGGCCTGACGTCATGGTTAGGTGGAAAGCTCCCCTCGGTGGGATTATGCATTCTGCACTTGCTGCATGCTGCACCGGCACTGCGCTTCGTTTCATTGCTTGACCTGCAACTGCCATCACAGGTCCTACGTTTCGTGGAACAAGAGAAATCATCAGATTTCTTGCTACCTCTTACATACGAGATGTTGTACGAGATCCGGGTTACCTAGATTGGCATTGGCTTTGTCAACTCGATCTCGATATCCATCTCTTAAACCTGTCGCGTGCTCCAGCTACTGCATTGAGGGCGTAAGACGGGAGGCCTCTGTTATCCTAGCTTCATGTAGTTTTTTTTAGCTAAGTAGCTGCTGTTCAACACTCCATGATGCAGGTTGACTGGAGCTAGGGAGCTCATGCTTTTGACCTTCTCCTGACCATTCTGTGGTCGGCGGGGTTACAGCAACCACGTTGGACGCTTGGTAGATGCAACAGCGGCTGGGCGATAATGGAGAGCCTTGACACACCATCGGGCGAATCAGGGTAGTCGTTGTGGAAATATGAAGGTCTCTTTTCTTTGGTCCTCATCGAGCTCAGTTCTGGGAGGATATTCCGGACGGTCTGACCCCGGCTGTTTGTGCGAGGCCATCTATCAAAAGGAAAAAAGAAATATCGCGCACGTTGTATCATGGATGGTGGTGTGAATGGATGGATGGATGGATGGATAGGAGTGAGGGAAACACAACAGGAAGAAAAGACGTGTAAGTGGAAAGCTTTCATTGGATCATTGCGAAAGCCACCACGAGACAAGCGTACCGGGTTGGTTACCCGCCGTTTCGTCGGAGAAAAAAGCAATGTAGGACCTCGAGAATGCCGTCTTTCTCGTAGAAAGTCGGATGATGGACAAGTGGCATTCGAGAAAAGGATACCAGATGAGCCCCATGGTGAGACTTTGTGTTGGGTTGGGTTGCAAGACCATGCCGACTTCGCGATTCGATCTAGAAATCTTGGCTTGAGCAACCACGAGAACTGCATTAATGGGCCTGCTGAGCTGAACAGGATGGACATGGGGGAGAAAAAAAAGAAGCAATAACGCAAAAGTAGGACAGCCAACAGGCCTGTGCAAGAGAGAGAAAGAGAAGCAAAAGCAGAAGGTCGTGCCCGGGTTCGAACCGGGGTTACTGGAAGGAATGTGACTTGAACAAGTCAAAATCCAGAGTGATAACCACTACACTACACAACCTTTGATTTGTTGGTGGGAACAAAAGCAGAATTTTGGGTCTATGCGGCTGGTGCAGGCTTGGCACCCCCTTTTTTGCCGCCGATATCATTCCAGGGTTAGGGTGTAAGGTGCAAAGTCCCTCTTCCTGACGAGATGCTCATGACATTGTTTGTGGCTCTAAAAGGTCTCAATTGCTCGCCTTCTATCTAGAAAATGTACTAAAAAAGTGACAGCATCAAATCCGTCCTCTCCGCCGACCATACATCTCCTTAAGTCGACTTCTTGTGTAAGATACCAGCACCGGCCTGTTGATCACAACAAATTAGTCAAGCCCCCACACATGGAATCTAAAAGAAACATACCTGGTGACTGGGGAAGATCAGAGTATCAGCAATAACAACATTCTCCCTTCTGCCAGCAACAAACACAACCACCTCGGCAATGTCATCTGGCGTCAATGGCTCGCAGCCCGCATAGACAGCGTCCGCCTTGGCCTTGTCACCGTAAAATCTGACAACAGAGAACTCAGTCTCAACCTGACCGGGGTCAATCTCCATGACCCTAATGCGAGTAGCGATAAGCTCCTTGCGCAAAGCATCGGTGAAGCTGCGAACGGCCGCCTTGGTAGCGCAGTAGATGCTGCCACCGGGGTATGGCTCACGGCCAGCGATGCTGCCAACGTTGATGATGTCGCCAGCACCACCCTCAGGCCGCTTCTTGAAGATTGGGAGAATAGCCTGTGTCATGTTGATCAGCCCAGTAACGTTGGTATTGAACATGATGTTGATGTCTTCCTCGGCAATCTCGGGTGCCCGGGCGAGACCTTTGACGAGACCCCTATATCTTGTTCAGTATGAACCATGAAGAAAAAAAAGATGGGATCAAAGACATACGCATTGTTCACCAAAACATTAATATCCCCAAACTCCTCCGGCAGTTTCCCGACAAAAGTCTTGACCTCCTCGGGGTTGCTCACATCAAGCTGAACAGGCAACACCCTGACCCCCTCACCAACCTCGGCAACAATATCCGCCGCGATCTGCTTCAGGGTATCAATCCTCCTCGCGGTAAGAACAAGCTTCAGGTTCTTTGGAGCAGTACGAGCAAACTCAAAAGCGGTGCTCCTTCCGATGCCGGAACTAGCACCGGTAATGACCACCGTTTTGCCCTCGAGGCGCTTAGCAACAGCGGAGGACATTGTTCTTGTGATTGATGGCGGGGTGAAGAGCGGGGCAAGGATGAACCGAGCGTTTGATTTTGTCAAAGTTTTGAAAAGTTGAGAAAATGATTTATACCTCAGTCTTGCGGCGGCAGGCAACAACATGTTATTGAGGAGAATGACAGTTATTATTAGGGGGTCCCGTCACCGGAGAGAACAAAACACGGGGGTCAGTGGGAGGGTGCTTGCTGACGCCATAGCTATCCACTCTGCCGGGCCAGCCCCGCATTCGACAATGCCGGCGATAAGGGGAGCTACCCCCGGTGCCCCCGCGCCCCGCCGCTCACCCCGCAGTTTGACGTTGACAAGGGCGCGGAAAAGCAGTTGCGCCATAGGCCCTATTATTGAGTAACGAGATATTGGTAAGAATTTGGGGTTTCTTTGGGGTAGTCATTCTTGGTTTGTTTCAGCCTCAGCTACACCTCGAGCTCATAGTTAGTTGTGAGAAGTCTACGCTCTTTGTGTACGTGGCGAAAAGGGCGAGTTGGTTGTCTGAACTTGTGAGTAAGGCAGGTAAGGTCGCTATGGGGAGAAGGGGGAAAACAGGACAATGGGGTGAGATTTGTCCCTTTACTAACTGGTAGTCTGTTTTGATGGGTAGGTAGTTTGAGAAGAGATTTTGTCGTCGATGGAGATCGTGATGACCTCGGAAGATGCCTAGCAGTCCAATGCGGGAAATGCTTCCTTTTAGAGCACCACAAGACAACGCCAAGACATGTCAAGGTGTTGATCTCCAATTTCCAGGCCTTGGCAACACCTATATTCAATCTCTTGTGTCGCCCGAGAAACTTGTCGTTTAATCTGGATAATTCCTTCGAAACAACCCTCCCCAAACACCACGGGACTTCAATGACGACCCTCACCCGTGGGGCGCAGCCCTTACATATATATGGCAGCTCTTAAAGACGACCCATCATCAAGTCGGCTGTCATGTGGGTAATTGACCATCACATCAACACTAGATAGTGACAATGAGACTCGCCGCCCTCCTCCACACATCTCTTTTTGCTCTTGCCCTCGCCGCTCCAGCCCAGCAACTTACCAAACGCTGCCGCGTCTCGCGCGATGTTATGGCATGCTGGGTCGCCTGGGATCTTTCAGAATGCGTCGCCTACATTCCGCTGAATGTAACTTACGAGTTCGATGACGCCAACAAGAAAGTTATCATCCGAGGGCTTTGCGAGAGCTGCTCACACGCACTCGCGCTCGAGCGCGCGGCCAGCTGGGACGAATACTCAAAGTGGTCTTCGAGCTTTGGCGAGGTTCAAGACCTTGGAAACGGGACCTTTGTCATCACTGATACAGGGAAGGACTACTTCGATCTCTTTAGGGGTATGGAGCCGACGCCGTGGGGGCGTACTTCGTGCTATTCGTTGAATGAGTATGAGTGGGATTACGAATAAGGTAGGGAGGGGATGAGGAGGGATGGGGGATGGAAGCTGGTGGGAAGGGGGGTCATTGGATGGTTGGCCTGTTAATCTGTTGATCGTCGACATTTGTGGTTTGTCCTCAAGAGAGTCTAAATGCTTTTGGTTGGAGTTGCTGCGTAATATAGGAGAACTGCCAGCTTAATATCACATAATATCCATGTATCCAGCATTCAGTACTTCTCCATTCAAGAGAAGTCATCGTCCTAAAGGAGAGAGGGGCCTCTCAAACCTTGACCTGGTTCTTTTCCCTCAACATCCCCATTGCGACCTGCAAATGCAATGTGCCCTTCGCACCTGTCTCCAGCTCCTCGACACCTTCCCACTTCTCTTCGAGCTCCCTGAGCTGGTCACGCAACTCGAACCGCTTGAGGAAGCGCAACACGGCGGCGACGGCACTGTCGAGAGCCCCAACGATCCAGGCATGGTGGGCGCTCGATGCCTCCCCAACAATGTGGAACTTGCTGTCAGCCGCGGGGCGCGTCAAGTACGGGTACAGGTTGCTAAACTGGCCCGGCCCAAACAATGCAAAGGCACCGGCCGTATTCGGGTCCTGCGGCCACAAATAGGCGTGGTGGACGCCGGTGAAAGCAGCTCGAATCTTGTCGTATGGTATAGTTTCAGCGTGCAGGAGGGCGAGGTCGCGGAGGATGAGCTCAACAAGTTTCTCCTCACCGGCGGGGGATGCGCGGTTGTTGACGAGAGAGCCTACGCGGGTGGCGTCCTGTGCCCAAGTGTATGAGGCCAGCAGCCCGGCGGGGTTTTCCTTGCCGTCGTGAAGGTTGTAGGATGGGTAGACGCATGTTCGCAGCGGCAGATCGGTGCTGGCAACCCCGCCTTCGGTGATGCCACAGTCGACAATCCACCAGGGGTACGAGAACTTGAGAGCCACCTTGACTGATTCGTCGTAGTGCAGGGCGCGAATGGCGTCCTTCTGCGAGGGATGGAGCTCGAGGCTGCGCAAGTCCATGCGGCCGAGGCAACCGAGGGTTGTGGTGCTGAACACGGTGCTGTATCCCGTGCGGGCTTCGGTTTCACCGGCACATTTGACAGACATGTTGCCGTCGTCATGTGAGGTCCAGTTGATGGAGATGACCTCGACACGCTTACCTGTCTCAACCTTGGTGCTGAGACTGGCTTGCATGGCGTCGGTGAGGAGTGATGTGCCGCTCTCGATGCAGAACCACTCGACATCGCGCGTTGGGTTCTCAAAGTCGAACGAGTCCATTACGCTCTCGGAAAAGGCCTGGTCGAAGAGGTTGGTTGAGGTCCCTTGGGTTTCCATCCACTGGATGGCAAAGAAGTCATACTTGGGCAGCGTTCCGTCTGGGCCGCCTCGTCTTAGGAACTCGCGGGTGCTGTAGTCGTCAACCGTCATCAGATTGTCGAACCCCTTGTTGAAATCCTTGGCAAGTTCGTCCTTGTATGGTCCGAAAGCATCGTTGAGAAGCTTGTCAACATTGTCGACAACATCATCGGGGACGCCGCCACCGTTTCTTCTGCTCGCATGATAGGGGTCAATGATGCCGTGAGCGAAGAAACGGTCATTGAAGAGCTTGGGGTTTTCTGGGCCATCCAGGTAGTATGGGATCAAGGGCATCATGGTGAGTTCGAACAGGTCGAAGGTGCGTTGCATGGTGGGAATCTTGGGGTATCGCATGGCGCCAATGTCGTGGTAATCGTGTGGTTCCTCGCTGAAGCGGTACGTATAACAACGTCCGCCCACATGGTTCGTGTTAGCCTCGAGGATATCATAACTAATCTTCAAGCTGTCGAGGATCATCGCGATGTAGAGGCCCGCGACACCGGCGCCTACAATGCAGACTTTGTGAGCTGGCGGGGTAAAGTCGCCAGCGCCATCGCCGTCGTGGAAATGACGATGGCCCTCGTCGTGTTCAAGACTTATATCATGAGGCAGGTTGTCCCAGGTGAAAGGTCCCTCTGTGCTGGAGATTGGAAGCCAACCTGCCAGACCGCCCTCTGGGTGACCACCTCTGAATGACTCCTTCTCCTGAAGGGCGTTGAGCTCCGCCGCAAGCTTGATGCGGATGAGCCGCTGAGCCCAGCGAGCCTTGATGCTAGTCGTAGTGGTGGTGCTCATGGCGGTTCACTTTGGGCAGGGAGCAAACAGAGAATAAGCTGAGAGATGTACACATGGAAACAATAAGTCGGGCTGTTACTCTCCATTCACCCAGTTATAAACCTGGAATCCACTGATTCTCACAAAATGTCATTGCCGCTTCTGCCACAACAAGAATCATAATGATTGCGCTTTCAGCTAGCCACTGTCAGGAAACAACACTGAAACAGCTATGCCACGTTTCTGTGAGAAAGTACATTCCACATGGTATTGGTTGCCCTCAGTTATCCCCGCATGGAATTACGCAGCCAAGGTCTATAAAGCCCACAATATTTGTCAATTTGACGTAGGGCATCAAACTGGACATGGTTGGGCAGCTTCAAAGCTGCAAGCCCGAGAGTCTAGAACCACAAATATGGTCTGAGATGAGGCGAGCGAGAGAACAACTCCGACAGGGAGGTGCAGAAACTCGGGTCCTAGTGAATGCAGGGCTCAAAATGCTCACAGGAAGGCCAAGAAGTCCTTATATTTGTTGAGCCCGACCAGTTCATTTTCATCCCATTCATACATCCCTCACACAAACAGCCTTGACGACTTCAGCGAACTATTCACTAACATGCTCACGGAAGTCTTTGACGTCGTCGTGGTGGGAGGCGGCCCAGTCGGGCTCGCCGCCGCGTACGAGGTGGGCAAAACAGGTGCGAGCGTCATCGTACTGGAGCAGAACAACTTTTTCAATCAAGCTGGAAGCTCGAATGATCTCGCCCGCATGTTCCGTACCATGTACACGGAGGACTTCATGGCCGACCTCGCAAAGGACGCCATGAAACTCTGGGACAAACTCGAGAAGGACTCGGGCTCGTCTCTCCGCTGGATGAGCGGCTTGCTCAACTTTGGAGACAAGAACTTTGGTGGAGACAGCCTTGAAGGGACTCTAATGGGTCCGGTGCTCAATTTAGAGCGGCTTGGGATGTCTTACCAAGAATGTAAGAGTTCATGATCTTCAACATCCATAGTACTGAACACTAGAAGCCCTTTGTTCTCAGTAACGGCCAAGGAAATCGAAGAGCGCTACCCCTTCAAAAATCTGCCCCCTAAATGGATCGGTCTCTTCGCCCCCGACAACGGCGTCATCAACGTCCAGCTTCTCTTGCGCAGCCTTCTCAGCCTAGCCAAAGATTACGGCGCCGAGGCCAAACAGCACACCCGCGTCGAGCGCATCATTCCCTCCACCACCGACAAGACCATCTGGGAGGTCCACGCCATCAGTCACGACACTGACCCGGCACTTTTCAAAGCCAAGAAGATCGTCATTGCCTCTGGCGCCTACGTCAACCCACGTCCTACGACCCAGCTTCGGCGTCTCCCTCGATCTCGACATCTGGGAAATGGTCGCCTCATACTTCAACACCAACCCCGGACCCAACGGCACCATCTTCCCTAGCATGTGGTTCCAATTCGCCCCCAACAAACACCGGCGATCCCAGCTCTTCTACGGATTCCCCACCGTCCCCTGGGGCCCCCCTAACGTCACTCGCATCGCCGTCGACGCAGCCACCCGCCGCATCAAGGACCCCAGTGAACGTCTGACCAACGTCGTGAACCCGGCTGACATCCGGGACACGCAGGAGTTTATCAAGAAGCACGTTGTCGGTGTTGATGCTACCGTACCGGCTTTTACACTGAGCTGTTCGCAGACTAATGTCTTTGACAATATGTTTGTACTTGATTACCTGCCAAAGGAGTATCTAGCAGGAGGAGCTGAGAAAAGCGTTGTGGTTTTCACCGCGGGTTGGGCCATGAACTTTGTTCCTTTGCTTGGCAAGGCGTTGGCTGAGATGGCGCTGGATGGGAAGTCAGACTATGCGCGGAAGGAGTTTGAGATTACGAGGAAGGATAAGAAGGGAAAGGGGATTATCAAGCGGGTTGTTCCAGGGAAAAGAGGGGGTCATTCGATGATGATGGAGGAGCTGGATGTTGATGATGAGGTGGAGGGAGAAAGCGCTTTTACTTATGAGGAGCAGGCTTCGGGGTCTTCCATCAGGGGGTGTCAAAATGTCGGGTTATAGGGAATATACGTGTGGATTTGTCAATGTCAGACTCCAAACAACCCAGGCAATTTCAAGCACTCCGTTACCATCCGCGACATCCATCTCCGTCTCAGTCGGCTTGCATCATGTCACTCTGTGACGATGCTTGCCTTTGAAAAACAGGCAACATGACTACCCGGCTCTCATTGCCCAATGAGCACTCTATACCCAGTCCCATAGCTTCACTTGCAGCTCATTTATTTGCCCTCGACGGAGCGAGTCGCCCTGGAAGCCCCGTGTCTTGAACCAGCCCACCACATCACGGCAGACAGCAACGGAACTCCCAAACCGACACCAATCCCAACCCCAAGTCTCATCTTTCGCTTCTCATCCGCACGAACATCCGCCTCCTCCTCGCGGATGTTCCTCACCAGCTGATGAGCCCAGCCCGACTGGACACTGAACTGATTGGTGTAAACCTCCGGGAAGCCGGAACCGGGCTGGCTGAGGCGAATGGTGTTGGCCATACCACTCGCCGAAGACGCGGCCTCCCCGGCGGACATGTTAGGCGCGTGCTGCGTGGGGAAGTCCTTTAGGATGGTGAACGGATCAAAGGTGAAGGATCCCTCAGTGCTCGAGGTTGTCACGTCTAGATGGAATAAAGTTAGCCAAATGTTTTTGTTCCATACAAGAGGGTGAAGGATCACGCACTGGTACTCCACATAACAGGAAGCTCACGAGCCGACTTCTCCTCCTCGCTCTGAAAGGGGCTCCCATCAAACAGCCATTCGATCAAAACATCAGTATCCCGCTTGGCCTGACGCCAGCGAATCTCGTACTCGACATGGTGATAAAGCACAGCGTACGACGCCGCGGTGCTGGACGGGATCAACGCGTCCGCGCCCTCTGGGTAGGAGCACGACTGTCCATTCTTGTCACACCAAATAAAAGAAGACAGGCAGATTCCTTGGTCGTTGCAGGTTGTGTCTGTGGCAGGATCAAAGGCCACCGAGGCCGACGACAAAGCCGCCAGAACGAGAAGTTTGGGGGAAAGCATTGAATTTTTTTTCCTGTTGCCCACAGGTGAGGGAGATGGGCAGATGCGACTCACGAAGTTTTTGTTCAGGGACGTGTTATTACACTTATTTGACTCAGCCCTACCGCCAAGAAAGGGTCCTCGTCACGAAAAAGGACCCTGCATCAACGTTAGACTGACTATTTTCTTTGCTTTGGGACCCACCGAGCCTGAATGCTACGCTCCAGGTTATGCTCCTCCTCCCCGTTAACTTGGCAAAGCGGACACCCACTCGGCCAACAGGTTTTGTTTCTTCATCAACCAACTGCGAGCGAACGCATTGCCCGCTGGGGCGGCTCCGGCGAGTAGGCGGGTCGTGTGATCAACGTTGTAGATCTTAGCTAAAGTGAAAGCCATGACAAGAAGAAACTCAACGAATGCGGAGGCACAAAAGTAAGCACTTGTCTAGTAAGCCTTGCATCAGGGGTCCAGTCGCTGCGGAGTGTTTGTGTAAGCGACAGATCTTTAGTGCGTATAAATCCACTCAGCATTTGCTGTTATGGGACATCGTGCCTTGGCTTGTAGTGTTGTAGGATCTCTGATACGCCGCCGCTAAGGGTTTGTGCCATGGGACATGATTGGACAGTTGCTAAAATCAGGGAATATGATTGGTCAGGTATACCAAAATCTAGACTGTCTGACCTCCACCAACTGTGCCTCTGAAGACCGGATACGCCGAGCCGGCTCGAGTTGCCTGAGTTTTTGTTGCAGTTGAGGCAGGCGGTGGTCCATGAGTTCCACTTCATATTGTCTTGGCCAACAAAGACTTCACAAGTTTCTTCACGAGTTTCCAGATTGAGCAGTATCAAAACCGTTGATCGCATCGACCTGATGTAGGATGGGGAAAAATGCCATTGAAATTCGGAGAGGTATTCGAATTAATGGCGGTTCGGCTTTTTTAGAATTGTGAGAGGAGTGTATAATCAAGTGTGAATACTTGGCTGACTTACATAACTTCAACGTTCATGCATTTGGTATGGACTAGGTGTATGTCAATCAGTTGGGTAAAAACCTCCTAACCATGGATTTGGAATACCTTACCGAGCACGATTCATGGATGCAGGGAAAAGCAATAGTCTAAAGGGGAACGCCCAACAGCAGGCTTGGCTAACTTTGATGCTAACTTGAAGAGAACATCCGGCCGGAGACCGCGTTGACCAGCCCTCCTGTTTGGTTGGCATACGCCCATGGCGGTTTGGTCAAAACAGACGATGAATGTCGGTGCTGGTTCAGGTAAATGTCGACACCCTCGGCGTATGGCATCGATGAAGTATCTCTTTTTGTGAAGATGTGCTATGAGATCAATGCCTCTCACCCAGGGGCAAAGCAGAGTCTACTGTGCAAGGTACTTTACCTAAAGGCCCTGCCTTGGGATAAGGCAAAATAAAACAAAGACCCAGGCTTTCGGTCAGGGTTTAGGATGGCCAAGAGTATCCTCTACTCCTCAGTAAGCGCTGAGTATGCATGTTGGGTCTGTCGACATGACATTCCTACACTAGCCACGCTTGATCACAATCCTGCCAGTCGACAGACCCGAAGAATCTATCTCTGCCTCTCGTATAGCTTCCCAAACAAGAAAATGCTGCGAATTCAGAGTCGTCCTGGGACTAGGGTTGGGATTTCTACGGCCATGAACTTCTCGAGAAGAGGACGAAGCCATGACTGCGCCGCAGCAAGCACCAACTTGTATGACAAGGTCTTTGCAGTTGTCAAGGATGAGAGAGACGTAGGCAGCAAGACGAAACTGTATATAAAGGAGGCTCAAGACGTCTCAAGGTGGTTCGAATTGATCAGCACCCAGCAGCTTGCCCTTCAAGAACTCTCAACTTCAACCCACCGACCATCACATCCTCTCTTGTTCATCATGGCTACCGCTTTCGGAGTCTTCTCGGGAATCCTCACCGTCCTGGGGTTCATCCAATCCAACATCCCGGACAGGCCCAACCAGTATGAGACCAAGTTCCGCATCCACGTCGGTCTTGATGGTCCGAGCGGCCTCTCGAACGCCGGTGGTGATGCGCCCGATATCCGTGTCTGGAATGAGGCCGGCCAGTTCATCGGTGCCAAGTATGACCCTGGCAAGATCAACCACGGCTCCTTCAAGGACGTGACGGTCCAGCTGTCCCAGCCCCATCAGCCCACGTACGCCCTGTTCACGGGCAACGACGATGCGATCTGCATCGCGTACATCACCAACAGCTGGGCCGACGGGTCCAAGTACGGCTGGGTTGGTAACTGGGCGGACAGCTCGTCCTGCAACCAGGACTGGTAAGAGATACTCTTTCTCGTCTGCGAGCAATAGGACCAGTGCCTAACAAACTCATAGGTATTATTCCAACATCGTCCAGAGCGGCAAGACCCTCAACTGCGCCTGGATCGATCGCAATGGCGACAGGCCCAAGACAGCCTTCCAGACTCATATTCATGAGTTTGCTGATGAATCTCGGAACAGAGGCAAGAACGTCGGCTAGTAAGTTCACCATCCCCACCCCTCCTCACCCCCTGAATCACATCTAACCTCAAATCCAGCTACTGCGCCAGCAACCCCTCTCTCAAGTGGTACACCAACTGGGAGCCCAACACCATCTCTTACTGGGTCACCCCCCGCAAGAGAGGCCTCGCCGGTCGCAGCAGCGAGCCCCAGCAGGGCATCGCCGTTGGTCCCGTGAAGCCCGGAAGCGAGGAGCGTGAGAAGCTCGCCGGCTCACGCCCTGCCTTCAACGAGACCCGTCTTGTCCGCTCTTCCCGCCCTGAGCACAGCGCCGTCACCCTCTGCGGAAGCGACAGCTCCAGGGGGCCCGATCTCGTCTCTCTGCACGAGGGTAAGTTCTGCGACATGTCTACCCGTGAGGTTCTTCCTCTCTGCGGCCCAAGCGTCACCGGTGATTGCTTCGACGACACCGTCAAGACGCTCAAGGTTCGCAGCGGTGCCATTGTTGGCCGTGAGGTCGAGGTTGAGAAGGACTACACCGAGGTTTTGGACTGGGGCCTTTAGATGAATTCGAGATAATGGGTGTGAAGAGGTGGTATAAGCCGAGAGCGATCACGAGAGTGCTGATTTACAGGAAGCTTGTTTTGCGTCTCAGAGGCTATCTTCTGCATCTTTGTTTTCTTTCACTATAGCTAGAAGTCAGTTGTTGAGCCGAGCAGGGTCTAGGCGTGGAGGTGGCAGGAGTATATATAATTGCCAACTTCACCACTGATATTTGATCACATGTCCATGTTTCTGTTTGTGGTGGGTTGCCCAAGTATATTTCAAGCTGTATACGCAGTAGGTAAGCTAGTTAAGTGTAGCATCTCTCCAATGAGATACCAGCAAAGTCAACAAACATCCTTCTTGAATAAGTCTCCCCATAGCCCTCTTAAAAAATCGTCAGCTTATCAACCTCCCCACCAATACTCCCGTCCCACTTCCCCTTCGTGAAACCCCCCTGCGAGGGAACCTTCGCGGGTAGCCAAATCGAGTCTTGCTCGGGGTTCGACAGATGCTTGTAGAGCACCCGGCTGTTTCGAGGACTCGTCAACAACAGTTTGAAGCAACACCCGTACTCGGCCGTCCAGGTAATTATCTCCATCAATTGCCCCATGACCATCTCGCTCTCCATTCGCAAAATGTTGTTGTCCTCGAAATTGGTCACACTATCCAAAATGCAGAAAAGTGCCTTGTGACGTGGGAGCTGGGCAACGAGGAGGTAGAATATTTCGCAGAGGTCCTCAACGTCATCCATGTCTTTTTCCTGGATCTGACGGAGGGTATGTAGACCAAAATTTGGATATGTCAAGAGAAGCTGACTGATTAAACTGCGCATCATGCCCGTGACGCCAAAGTCTGGATCTTCGCTGCGTCGATCCGTGTGTGGACCGCAAAAGAAGGTGACCACCAAGACGGAAGATGACTGGATTGAATTGGCCAACTTTGCGGCGACGAACGATGTCGTGTGGTGGTTGCGAGTGGCGTTGAAGTTGAGGAACAGGGCAGAGGATGTTGTTTCCGTTATCCAGCTCTGGAGCTTTGGTGATTGTATGGCCGCGACAAGGCGGTCTTGATCTGAAATGGGGACCTGCCATACGCTGCGCAAACTGGTGACTATGTCCCTCTCAATCACTGAGCTGTCATAGTCTAGTGTGGATATGGTCTCCTCGAGCCTGTGGCTGGTTTTAGAGCCATGAGGTAGTGACTCGGGCGAAGAATCTCGTGTGAGCCTTGACTCGGATTTTGCCTTGCGAATCGGAAGAGAGGGACCTCTCACTGTGAGAGTAGGTGGGTGGGGATATCAGCAAAAGAACCGGGCATATAAGCTACTTGACCAGTTGACATCTGTTAAGAGGTAGCTCACCATCATGCGTCCTCGCATTCATCCAGGCACCACTGCCTAAGAACGCTGCCAACACATTGGTCAATTCACTGACCTGCGACTGCAAGTCCACCGCCTTGGAACTGAATTCCTCCCGAAAATTGTGTAACTCATTGTTTGCATCATCGAGATAGCGGACAAGTATGCTGTGGTTTTCATCCTGCCGGACCCCTTGGGTTCGTACCATCTCGGACGTAGTCACAATTCGCTCGTAAGAGTTGAGACGAACAACATGTTCGAAGCGGTCAGCTTGTTGGCGAACGTTGCTGAGGAGCTCTGTAAGTTGTATAGCATATACGTCCTGCTTTAGGATACTCTTGAAAAGCGTTTCTGGATACCATTTAGTTTCAGCAATGCGGAAGAGAATGGAGAGAGGAAACGTGTACTCACTGATGGCTTTCTCTCTATACCACAAAACAATGTGATGCAGTGCTGCTATTATCACAGAATAAAGGTCCGCACTTGCTTGATGGAGGTCCTTGGAGCGTTTGAAGATCCCCAACACCAGATGTGTGCTTTTTAGTAGAATCGGAATTTCCGCCAGAGCATCACAAACATCCGAATTGAGGTCGTGCAAGCGTGCAGCAGCCTGCGAATGAAAGACATCAGTACGTCGCGGAAGATTAAGGCTACCTAATCAGATCACCAGGAAATACAAACCCCAAAGATAAACTTCAATCCTCCGCACAGAACAGATAGGTATTCGGACTGAGACGGTAGCAAGCTGGCCCAGGCATCGAAGGCCTTTGCATTTCGCCCGAAGCTGCAAAGACCCTTTCGAATCTTGTTCCACATTCCAGAAGCCTCCGAATACGTGTCTGCAGCCCGCTGGGCCTCTTCCAAGACATCCTCCCAAGTAAACGAAGGCTTGGTGGTGATTCCTGAACCGAATTTTGGTCCTGATGTTAGCTTCTCATAATCAGCGATTGCTAATTGAAACCGCAGCTTTTCTTGTGTGGCATCTCGGTATATCTCTTCACTACTTCCATGTCAATAACACCATTGGGTGAGTCTTAAGATTGGGTCATGGACCTACAGAGAGATGCCGCAGTCATTTTCGCCTGCCACCATGGCAACGGACGTTGGGTTCTGGTTTCCATCTTCGCTCGCACCCACAGCTGTATGGCACGATACTCGGAGTTCGGCGCCTGTGGCTTTCAGGAATGTTGATTCTGCCTCAGATTTGTCCCGCACCTTGGCAAGCGCAGGGTGAATGTCACGACGGAGTCTTTTGCGAACATAGCTGTCCACTAGAGTTCCTAGACCTCGATTAGTGTTCGGCGCTTTTGTCGACATGATACCTGCAACTTCAAGGGAGAAGCTTGTAATGACTGAGTCGCAAGGCAACCAAGATGACCAAGGAAAATAGGGGTTTTCTTTTTGCAATTGCTGTGTGATTGATAGGTAGGTGGGGAGAATAGTAACGAATCTATCAGTGTGTGAGTGTGGTATCACCATGCCCGCCACGGTGCGGCACACAAACATGAAACAGATACGAATGCAGGACCTGCAGGATGACCTCTTTTCCATTGGCTGAGGACTTTTGCGCCTCTACAGATCGTTCGATGACACTCAAGTTTGTGTAGGTAGCGTGCCCAGATTGTGTTCGGTGAGTTCAGAGCCTTGCTGTAGAAGCGGGGACACGGTCGAGAACAGTACATTTTTGCCATTCGGCTCTTGAAGAAGTAGCGCGTAGGCGGCGACACGGCGAGTGGCCCCGTTCCTGTCCGGTGGCACTCCCGTCACGCTGTTAACGATACGAGCGAAAGCAAAACCTTATCCACCTCAGTGTTAAATACCCTAGGTACCCTTGACCCCGCACTATGACTGTTGCCTGAGCTCAACGCATACAGCAGCAACGAATGATTCCTGACTTTCATCAAGATGTCTCTTGTGGAAAATCACCCTCCTTCCACTTCCACCGATGTCCTCAATAAAAGCGATGTTGAGGACGTCGTCGATGAGTCTTCGCCCCCATCATCTCAGCCAGGGTGTGTTATCTCTCCATTCCAGTCCAGCTTAGGTGCCTTGGTGCCATGTTGCTGACAGCGCAGAAGCAAAAAAGAACCCGAGACCAGCGGTACCCAAGAAGGCACAACTTCAGTGAATGAAACAAAGAATACCGATCCAGCAAAGACCCAAGAAGCTAAAATAACACGAGTCCCTCCCGAAGAATGGCGACGAGTCAAAAAGGGGCGCAAACTCGACCTGGACCAAAGCGTTCTCATTACCTCATCCAAGGTGAATGTCAAGGCCAACCTACGGAAGCTGCGACGGGAAAGTGCGATAAGAAAGAAAAAAGGTGAATCATCTCAAAATGCAGAGGTGTCTCAGCAGCTAGACGTGCCTTATCGGCTCGCCATCAATTCCCAGTACCTTTTGCACGCCCTAGGGGAGTGTATCGGGGAGGAGCTTACCGAGACTCAAAACGTTTTTGTACGTCCGTTCAAGTATCTTGTAGGGCATGAAGCGGAGATACGACAGTTCTACGCCGATCTTGAGTCAGCCTACGACCAAGCCGAAGCTGATGCCCAGGCTGAAGTCGTTCAAGAAAAAGAGACGTCAGAAGATGAAATCTCGGCTGAGACGGAGCATGAGACACTGAGGGAGATAGCGGATCGCGCTAAACGACAGAGGGACGAGTTTCGGTGTCTTATAGAGTTCATGGATCACGACATGGCAGATATATTTGACGTCAAGCGCCAGATCTCCAACAAGACCATAAAAGAAATCGCTTTTGAGAACCTGTGGCAGCTCTTTCGACCGGGGCAGACATCGTACCTCTTCCAAAATCGGGATGATCACCGTCGATGCCAGGCGTTGCAGATCCTTCACGTCACCGGTGGCCGTGAAGTGTTTGACTCTGGCAAGAAGTGCTCTTTCGACCCAGTGCGCGATAGAGAATGGGATTCGGAGACTGAGTCAGAGGAAAGATGCCGCGATATTGTCAAAGCCTCGGACCACGAAAGCACCAGTTTCATCATCGACTCCTTCCACATCGACTTCGACGGTTTCCGGATGGGTCCAAGACCAAAACGTTTCGTCATTTCGCGCTACGTTGGGGCACGCCCCGTCAAAATATTGCCGCTGTATCCATCTTTTCTCCACCCTAATGATTCACAAATTCAGGAGATACTCCTTCATCGGGGAAAGAAGTTCACAGAACTGGCGACCGGAACACACAGGAAATATGACGGGTTTACCATTCGAGAGTCTAATCAGACAACACGCGGTTTTTACAACTATGTGATAGCTGACACCGAGGTATGAAGCTTTCGGCTGGTTCCTATCTCCCTAGTCCATTGAGTTTCATACCATATATAGACACGTACCTAACATATAAGCAAGCTCCACTGCGAGGTCATGGTGGATCAAGCGGCAGGTATCGAATTCTTTAGAGAGGACATGAACCTGTACCACAGATTTTCCGTAAAGTTGGGCGGAAGTATCATCTACAGCCCGACCAAGGCCGACAAGCGAGAAACATTCGATCCGTTACCCGAAAAGCAGGACAACAGCTGGGTCACCGACGTCTTTGATGACTCCAAGTTCGAGGCTGACCGACACGCCGACTTTCTGCAGTTAGCAGAACTGCGGAGTATTCAAGAGTTCCGAAGAGCCGGCTGCACTGACGAATGGGCTCTGTTGCTTCCGACCCGCGTGTATGGCTACTCCTTGCTCGACCACAGGTGGTTTGCCCTCGACATCAACAATGTGAGCGAAATCCCCCCCCGGTCGCTCACATCGCACTTTGAGGACCTGGTGCTGCCTGACGGCCACAAAACACTCCTTCAGGCCCTCGTGAAGAATCATGTTCGGGTACCCAAGCAGAGCGGTATTGCGCATGAGACATTCTCTATGGATCTCGTCGCTGGCAAAGGCAAAGGGTTGATTATTCTTTTGCACGGGGTGCCTGGTGTGGGCAAGACTTCCACAGCTGAGTGTGTCGCCGCTGAGTTGGGCAGACCACTTTTACCTATCACATGCGGTGATATCGGCACCACAGCAAAAGAAGCTGAGAGGACATTGGAGTCCTTCTGTGGGTTGGCGCAGAAGTGGAGATGTGTGTTGCTTCTGGATGAGGCCGATGTCTTCTTGGCGAAGCGAGAAAAGGGAGACATTGAGAGGAATAGTCTAGTTTCAGGTATGCTGTTTTGCAAGTATAGATCGGACCAAGAGCAGCTTGTTGATTAGTTTCACAGTTTTTCTGCGCGTTCTAGAATATTACGCAGGCGTCATCATCCTAACCACCAACAGGGTCGGAGAATTCGATGAAGCATTTCGATCACGCATACACATTAGTCTCTACTACCCAAAACTCAGCCAGAAGTCTGCCAAGGACATTTGGCAGAGGAACATGTCCCGTCTCAAAGCGAGCGGAATAGACATGGACATAGAAGAAGAGAAGATTGAACGCTTTATTGACCAGCACTGGGAGCGTAACAAACACAAGCCATCCCGGAGATGGAATGGCAGGCAGATGAAAAACGCTTTCCAGACAGCCACAGCACTGGCAAACTGGGACTTCTATGAAGGCGGAGAAAACACTGAGCTAAAAGGACCGCTCCTCAAAGTTGGGCATTTCAAACGCGTCGCGCAAACATCTGCCCACTTCGATGACTACATTCGCGACATTCATGGCTTCCAAGAAGAAGACGACCCGTACAGCGTCATCGCCGGACGTGACCTGCTGCGGCAAGACAAAAACCCAGGGACACTTCCCCCCGATTCGTCCGCGCCATGGGGAAGTCGTCGAAGAGGGAGAAACCCTCCGGTATATCCGGTATCGAATATGGAAGATCTTGGCAGGAGACACAATCGACGGCGTAATCGGGAGGAAATGTTCACTGATGACGAGGATGATGATAATGTCAAGCGGCTGAAGCTAGAGTTGAGGCTGGCTGAACTGAAGAAAAAAGAGGGTTCGGGAAAGGCGGAAGCAGCGGGACCGATTGCAGACGACGAGGAGGATGATGATGATGATGATGATGATGAAACATGGTGATGTGCAATGAAGGCTGTGTCTCAGAGGTATGGTGGTTAATTGTGTTTTCTTTTTTTCTTCTCGAATTAATTTCATCATCTCAGACACGAGATATTTCACTAGCATGATTTCATTCCTACCTAGTGGTCAGAGTTGGGCGCAGAGCCTCAGCTCGAGCTGGCCACCTCAATCACAGTCGGGGTTTCTAGTAACGGAGAACTCTGTCTATTGTTCGTGATATTTTTGATTGGCAAATTTATTGCAATGTGCAATGTTAACCAAAAGGGAGTTAGGAATTTTATTACCTGTTTGGAACATGCAGAGGATCGATCCTTCACGCATTTGTTGCACTGCTATTGGTTGGTTGGAGGTCAACTCACCAACAACCCGCTCCACATGGTTGGGACCCGAATCTTGCTCTTGGCAATAAGGCCTCGCTCGAATGTTGCTCTTTCCCTCGGAGAGTAACATCAACTCCTGATATCCTCAAGCTCCACACGATCACCTACATCGAGATGGTCTTAGTTCCAGTCAACAATCTGCCGACAAGTCCAGGATTGAATCAAGCAGCTGGTAGTTCTCAGAGCCAAGCAAGGCCACTTATCCACGTGGTCAACGATGCCCTTCCACCGATGACCGATGACCAGGAAGACCAGGACCAGAAAGATGTTTCCCCTCACACATGTCGCCACTGTTCAAGAATCACGATCGATATGAGACAAAACTCAAAAGACGGCAAAGATGACGGTCAAATTGGCTTCACTGAGGCTGATGTCATCTCTGCTCTGAAAGACAACTGCGCTTTATTCTCTGCCTTTCGTCAAGGGGCCTACCTTGTCAGCATGACCTCAGGTCCAGACAACCCGATCTGGGTCGAGCGGACTTTGAAGCAGCCAGCCATTGTCAACTTCTTCGAGGTCGATTGGGAACGACTCAAGCTGGGCTACAAAATGAACAATAGGTTGGGGGAATTGGTGCTCTACAATGTTCCAGGTCAAAAGCCCCACGAGCTGTTCGGACCCCAACCGCCACCCAACCTCCTCCCCAACTCTGAGCTCAGCTACTCCCGAGCCAGGAAATATCTCCGAGATTGCTCCGCCAACCACACCAAATGCCGCGAGTTCAACCTTAGCCACATGCCCACCCGCCTCTTGGAAGTCGTTACTCGCCCCAATTCTCCAAACCCAGATGAACCACACCTCATCGTTCGTCTTGTCAGCAACCCACCCCCAGCCCCCTACGCAACCCTAAGCTACTGCTGGGGCGGCGACCAACCCGGCAAGACCACCAAAAGGAACGTTGGAACCTACTCCCGCAACATCCCTCTTGATGTTCTCCCGTTGACCATCATCGACGCTTTAACCGTAACCCACGGCGTAGGAATGAAATACCTCTGGGTGGATGCACTGTGCATTGTTCAAGACTCGGACCAAGACAAAATGAATGAAATCTCCAACATGCACCTCATCTACCGCGGAGCATTCCTCACCATTGCTGCTGGTGTAGCTTCTACCAGCCTTGACGGGTTCCTACGTCCGAGGGTTCACGACAGGGGGTATGTCTTTAATGTAAGGGTTGATTCACCAGTTGGAAAGCAGGAAGGGGAGATACGACAAGCTATCGCCATGCCAGTGCGCTTGAGGCGGGATCAGGAGATGTTACCTCTTTACACCAGGGCTTGGACCTTCCAGGAGGGACAGTTATCCACCCGGGTGCTTGCTTACGGAAACAGGGGGATGGTGTTTTGTTGTTTGGAGTCGAGGCATACAGATGGGGGGCTAGAGGAGCCAATTACGACTTTGAGATCGATTGATGATTCCATAGGCGCAAGTTTCAAGAACTTGGACCCGGGAAATCAGAGTTTGGGCGGGGTGGGGCATCCGTTGGCTTGGGGGGTGATTGTGGAGGCTTATACGTCGAGGGAGTTGACGGTGGGGGATGATAAGTTGTTGGCTGTTATGGCTATTGCGGAGGAGTACAAGAGGACGAAGGAAGGGGTGGGGGAGTATTTGGCTGGGTTGTGGAGGGGGGATATGCTTTTTCAGCTGTTGTGGGCGGCGCATAGGGTTAGTGATGTGAAGACCAAATTTAAGAGGCCGGAGAGGTACAGGGCGCCGAGTTGGAGTTGGGCGAGTTTGGATGGGCATTTTAGGATTTTTTTGCATCAGGGGGTGTTGGATGGGAGTATTGGGTATAAATACGCTTGTGAGTTGCTTCATGCGGAGACAACGCTTGTGGGGGGTAATCCGTTGGGGCAGGTCAAGGGAGGTTTCATTCGGCTGAGGGGACGAGTGAAGAAGGTTGTTTGGAAACGGAATGGGACCGGTAAACATGATCACGGTTATGGGTGGGCGCTTGGGGATTCGGAGAGCGATTGGGTGAAGTCTGGTGAGGTGCCGGGGGATGATAGGCTCTCTTGGTATGTTGATGTGCCGGATGAGTGGCCGGTGAAGAGAGACATTGTGATGTCTTGCATTGAGGTTTGCACGTATGAGGCGCCGGAGAACCTGATGCAGTTTGCTATGGTGCAGCTGTATGACGAGAGAGGGGGGTCGCCGAATATGACACAGGGACGAGGGATTTTGTTGGTTCCTGTTGAAGGTCAGCCGGACACATACCGGCGGGTGGGGACGATGGGATGCAAGGGCTATCTTGAGGGCGATGTGGGCTTTGAGAAGAAGCCTTATTGGTTTGATGAGGGTCACGGTATGAGGCAAGAGGTTGTTGTCATCTGATCTTGGCATTGAAGAGTTGAAGATGTCGCAGAAGGATTGCTCGTCATGTCCACAGCTGAACTATTGAGTTCGGTGCAACCAGTTCTAACCGGTAGTTCCAAATATGGACACCGAACTTCTTCATCACTAATTCCCATGGCAGGCGATAAGGTCAAACGCCGCTCTCCTTACCCTGGCTAACTGTGTTTGGCCGAATTGTGGGCTCGGATTTATGACCTTGAAGAATTTTTCAGTAATTCCGGTCCGGCATGTTGGTTGTTCCAACACTTAGAGATACAGGCACTTACCACTGGTCTGTCAAAGACATGAGACAATTGAACTATTGAAATCCATGAATATCCATCGCGGCTTGGGACGTACATGTTGGTTATTCTCCAAGGTATCACAGAGTATCCACCTGCCAGCTTGACGGTGTTCTATTCGAGGCTGACGCGATGTAGGATTTGGTACGACGATGTTATATGCAGTAGACGAAGCCTTCCAAGGTTCGTGCGACTTCTCGGCGTAAGACTACGAGCAGGTGATAGAACCACCAGGAATGAAGCTGTCTATATTGTCTCTCAATAGGCAAGTAGGTTTCACAAATGCGACTATAGACCACTGTTAGCTTTGGTATGACAACCTGGAACTTTGTAAGGTACCTGATTTTGCCAAGCTGATGGTTGACAGCGGCATCTGAGGCTTTTCCAATAGCACAGAAGCAGGTTTATGCCTTTCCGCCAAGTGTTCGATGTGGATATGTAGTGACAGACACAAAGAGATGTTTACTCGCTGCGAAAAATTATATAAGGGTCCCCCTCTCCTACTTCCATGAGGTCTGTCATCCTCATCACTACTCATCATCGGATCAGCATCACTTTCTCACCTGACTTTCCGGCTCGCACTTCTCATTGACTGCCAAAATGCAGTTCAAAGCCCTCCTCGCCCTTCTCCCCCTGGTTGCGACCACCGCTCTCGGTTTCGTTGTCCCTGAGGGCACCCCAAATGGCTTTTACGAAGTCACCGTTGGGGATGACGGCAACACAACCACGGTCGAGATTGATCCCTCGACCCACGCAGTCATTGGAGAGCCCCTTGAGAACCGTAGCCTGCCTCGCCGCAGCGCGAAGCTCAGAAGACAGGTGAACTCGTGGGGTGCAACGGGGAGAACTTTCCCAAACCAAGCCGACTACAATGCATGCACCCAAGGATGGAAGAACTTCTTCAACGCTGGAAGTCATGTTCCGTCCACAACACAGTACTTCGCCGTGTCGGGCCAGGCGGTACTTGCGGGCTGCAACTACAAGTGTAAGATCACATACTATATCATACTGCAATGCCCAAAGCTAACTGACCTCGCTTGCAGATGCTGAGGTCAATCACGGTGCATCCCTTGTCGACTCCTTCAACGGGTTCATGGACGACAACGCCGGATGGTGGAGGACGGGCTGGGTGCATTTCTTTTATCATTCCGGCACCCTGTTCCCGACCATCGACTTCACCTTCTGGCGCGATCTCAGTGGCACCAACTTCTGCGACAACCTTACCTAAAGCACTCACTTGTCGTCCTCCAGTGTGGTTTTCCTTTTAGGAAGGTTTTTACCGGCGTGTGAGCCAACCTGCAGGGGGAAGGATATCCTGTTCTTCTTGCAGCCACACTGCCTTTTCCTTCCACGTTTATTAAATAGTAGGGTAGCAAGATTGAACATATATAGGAGTTTGTTGGATGTATGTCTCGTGTTACTAGGTAGGTAGGTGTGTGATTTGCACTTTCCATCAAAATCGAACCGATGTCATTTTCTCCTCCACCTTCCAAGCACCTTTTTACGTTACTTCAACTGTGATGTCCCAAAGAATCTGCTCATTTCATCGCGCTAGCCTCGGCACACCAGTACGCCAACCTCTCATCTCCCTCCGGGTGCTCACCACGTTCGTTCTTCTCAAAATGCTTTTTATCTGGGTTAGAGTCCGAAGCAAGCAACTTGAGCGCCTTGGTTGCCACATCCGGCGATTCTGTCGACCTTGCCGCAAGAAACTTGATCACAGAGAAGAGAACACTGTCCAACGCACCGGAGATCCACGCGTAGTGCGCGCTGATAGCCTAGCCTCAGATGGCAAGCTGCGAATTGGCGAGAAGTTCTTGGAACTTTGGGTATATGTTTTGGAACCGTCCCGGTCCAAAGAGAGCAAAGGTACCACAGGTGCACAGGTCATGGGACCAGGCCCAGGCGTAATGGGTGATGTAGTAATCGTGGAGATCTTTCAAAGTCGGAGCCTCCTGTCGGCCTGCCCAGAGTTTGACCAGGCCCTCGAGGCAGACTGCGGCGATGGGGCCGGCGTAGCTTGGTGTTGGTGTTGAGGGATCAGTGTAGTCCGGGACAAGGGCTGCCATGCGGGACGCATCTTGGGCCCAGGCGCATGAGGCGATGAGAACGTTGGTGCCGTCGCCGTTGTCCCACGAGGGATAGACAGTGAAGCCGAGGGGAAAGTCGCTGCTAGATACACCGCCACCGCGGTGCATGGCGTCGGCATTGGGGTAGAAACCCGTCCACCAGCGCTTGTTGAAGTTGATGGCCACTTTGGTAGCCCGGTCGTAGCTGAGGGCACGAATGCCGTCGAGAATGTCACGGTCGAGATTGAGACCTGAGAGATCCATCTGCTGGAGAGGCCCTAGAGCTGTGGTGTTGAAGACCATGTCGTAGGAATTTGTTGAGGACTTCTCACCGCCTGTAGTGACTTGAATAGTCCTTCCATCAGAAGCCAAAGACATAGCTACAGCGGGTGTGGAGAGCGACACATCAATGGATGTGGCGCCGGCTTGGGGCCAGATGGTGCTCTTCAGACGAGCTGCCATGGTATCAGTGACGAACGACATGCCGCCCTCGACGCGAAACCAGCCTTTCTGGTCAGTTTGGACGAAGTCTGCATAGTCCGACAAAGTCTCGGTGAGTGCCCGGTTAAAAGAGGCCGGTGGAACTAAGAAACACTGTGAGTTATATGAAACGCCATATATGGAGTGCTGACACACCTGTCAGCTAGCTCGCCCGCCATAGTATCGGCGTATGACAGGACTTGCGGAAACATGAGAAAATCCCTGGTGGGGTAGTTGTCCTATCCCTTGTCGAAGTAGATTTGTACCTCGGACTGGAACTCCTTGAGCACATCTTTGATAGCATTTTCGAACTTCGACGCACTGCA